CTGAGTAGTACTCTAATATGTATATATTCCATACTTTCTTCATCCATTCTTCAATTGAAGGGCATCTAGGTTGTTTCCAGGTTCTGGCTATTACAAACAATGCTGCTATAAACATAGTAGAGCATATACTTTTGTTGTGTGATAAGGCCTCTCTTGGGTATATTCCCAAGAGTGGTATTGCTGGGTCCATGGGTAGGTTGATCCCAAATTTTCTGAGAAACCTCCACACTGCTTTCCAGAGTGGTTGCGCAAGTTTGCATTCCCACCAGCAATGGATGAGTGTACCCCTTTCTTCACAACCTCTCCAGCAAAGGCTATCATTGGTGTTTTTGATTTTAGGCATTCTGACAGGTGTAAGATGGTATCTTAAAGTTGTCTAACTGGAAATAAACTGGGAGTAAACTGTTTTGAGAAAAATAGTGAATTAATAGAAGTATTTAAAACTGAATAAGTTTTTTTAGTTGAAATAACCATAAAACGTCCTCCACTCAATCCTTTTTCTAATTCTATGCTTGCATAGTTTCCATGTACAAGAATGGCTTTTTCTTAAAGATCAGAAGCAGAAGGGCAGTCCTTGACATCACTCTGCCTATTTTAAGGCATCTGTTTTCATACAGGTAAATGGGGTGATCAAGTGTTTAGGGGTCATTAAAAACAAACTTGGTGTTGGCATGTTCTCTTGGTCTCATACTCCCATGACCATTAGAGGAGTCTGCAGAATGAGAACCACTTTACCTCCTACAGGGAAGAGGTAATTGTCTCCTATCAACTAGATCCTCATTCAGTTAACTGTGAACAGCTGGTGGTACAGAACCATCATCTCGTTTATTAATAAAAAGGAAATAACAATGATTTGTAAGCTTCCACATACTCATTAAACTTTCAGCCACTGTACTTAAACTATGATCTGGTCACAGTCAGTACCTCACACTGTAACAGGTACCTTCCATCTGCTTTATTTTCTGTTTCTCTTTTAAAATTACTCCTTGGGTCACATTGTATATATCAGTATTTCATTACTTTTATTTATTTGTGGATACACCACTGTTTCTTCATTTGCCTTTTGAGAGACATTTAATTATTTCCAGTTTGAGGCTATTATGAAGAAACTCTTTGGAGCATCTGTGTACAGATGTTCACCCATGCTTATGCTTTCATTCCTCTTCATTTCATTGAAATTGCCTAAGGGCAGAATGCATGCTTAATTTCTTAGGGAGTTTGTTGTTGTTGTTGTTTGTTTGTTTGTTGTTGTTGTTTTGTTTTTCAAACTGAGAAAACTCTATCAGGTTTTCACTCATTCTTCTCTTTGCCGTGCATCCCAAACTGACAGTTAGAGCATTCATAATACTGCTCCATTTGTCTTCCATAATATTCAGATGCTCATAACTTTGATATTTTCCCCATTTAATAGATGAAGAAAATTATCAGATGTCATAATTTCAGCTTCATAATCCTCATTGAAAATCTAATTTATTATCTCTTGTCAGGTTCTCAGTGGAAATGGTGTGATACAGAAAACACTGAGATATCTACCTAGCACAATTCTCAGAATTCTAACCTTTGCTACTGATGTATTTGAATATTCTAGAGCAACTATCCCAGTATTGAAACACTAATGTGTTTTTTTCTTTTTTTTTTTTAAAGTGAAGATAGTTTTTTTTTCCCATTCAATATATCCTGATTATGTCTTCCCCTCCCGGCTGCTCTTTCCATTTCCTTCCCAACTCTTCCCCCATCTGAATTCACCCCATTTCTGTCTCATTAGAAAACAGGCATATAAGGGATAATAATAAAATAAGATAAAATAAGATAAAACAAAAACAAACACATCAGAACAGGGCAAAACAAACAGAAGGAAAAGAGCCCAATAAAAGGCACAAGCAACATATAGATACAGAAACTCATTAACCCAGGAATCCCATAAAAACACAAAACCTGAAGCCTACACACACACACACACACACACACACACACACACACAAGAGAAAGAAACATAAAGGAAAAATCCTGACATGACATTATGAAACAAGGAACCTGCAAAGAAGCATTGATTTGTTTTCTGTTGACCGTCTACTGCTAAACATGTAGCCGACCCTTAAGGGTGGTTTATGTCCCCAGTGAGACTCCCTTGGAGAACACTAAAATTTCATTTGCTAGTGGTGATTGGAGATTGCTTCAGGCTTAGGGACAGGGTCATGTGTCCACTTTTTCTTTCAGTTCTAGAATCCCATCTGGTACTGATTTCAGAAATGGGTATACTATTTACATCTCTTTTTCTTGGATATTTTGTGTGTGCATGCTTGCCTGCCTGCCTGCCTGTGTGCATGCACACACATGGATGTGACAACAGAGGACAGCTCACTAGATCTGGTTCTCTCCTTTCACCATGTGGGTTCCAATGATTGAATTCAGGTTTAACGCAAATGCCTTTAACTACTGTTCTGTCTTACTTGTCCCTGTTTACACTCTTAACCAGTTCTCCCACATCCTTGCTAACACTTGATATAATCAATCTTCTTATTTTAGCCACTTATTATGTTTTTACTAGTACGCTATGGGTTCAGTTTATATAGTTTATATTTCCTTTTGACTGTGTTGGATGGTATCTCTTCATCTATTTATCATCTTTGTATCCTATTATGTGTAGCAGCGCAAATGTACTTGGGGCAGGTAGGGGACAACATTAGGTGCTGCTTCTCAGGTGCTTACCACCATTTGTTTTGTTTTATTGGGATGCACCACCATGCCCAACTTTTTTTCACGTGCATGCTGGCGATCAGACTCAGGTCCATATGCTAGTAAGGCCAGCTATCTTAGCTATCTCCTCCCCCGCTTTCTTCTTTAATGAAGGACCAGTTCAAATCTTTTGGTCAACTTTTATCAGGGATATTTGTTTTCTTATGATTGAGTTATTGAGGCTCTTTATTCTAGATTTGAGTTTACTAGGAATCCTGAAAATCTTTTTTTCCAGTCTGTAGCTTACCTATTTCTTTTTTTAATTAATTTTTTATGTGTATAAGTGTTTGCCTACATTATTTGTATATGCATTGTGTGCACATGCCTGGTGCCTGCAGTCTAGAAGAGAATGTCAGATCCCCTGGCAAGGCAACTACAGGTAGTTATCAGTTGCCATATGAGTGGGAACTGTACCTGGGCGCTCTGGAAGA